GGCTGATCTAAGTCAGGGCATGGCTAACTTACAGTTTGAGCCCCAAAGCAACCTCTGGGCTGATCAAAAACAGGGCATGGCTATTTCACAGATATATTGGAATTTAGGATGTTGGGTTTTGTGAAGGGAGGAAAACTTGACAAGACAAAACCCTCGAATCACAGGAGAGAACCAACAAACTCTACGTCCAGGAATTGATCCCCCAATGTGAGAGGTGAATGCAATACCACTACACCACCCTTGGTTCTCTTGAAAGGGATACCGGAGGCTGGGAAATGAGGTAGTAAGTGTAATAAAACAGGTTGCTATCAATTTTCATCATTTCCATTCTCGTAAGAAGCATGCAAGGCTGCTACCAGTAAAGAGATTTATTCAGCTGATTGACACCAAGCAATGCGTGCATAGATAGGATAGGATACCAATAAACATTATTTATAATTCTTACCTTTTTTCTTTAATGTTTCAGCAAAATCACGAAACTCTGGTCTTTGTACGTCTGTCTCTGAAAAGGACGTCGAGTAAAGAGAGCAAAGTACTTGTGGTCTGGATGTTAAAGAACGTAAAGCAAAATGACGGAAGCATGACAACGACTCTTTCACCGATGAACCTGAAGATAAAAAAACATTCTTTCAGGAGCGTCAAATGATTTAATAAACAATAAAAGCAGAGCGAATTTACTTTTAAATATTCCGCGACACAACTGACGAAGAACTCCATGTGCGGCCGCCATCTTGAATTTGAACCCTACCCATGATACACCGCGCGTTCGTATAACATAAAATAAATTTTTTCATTACTTACGAAATTACATTAAAACGAATATTTAAGAAAGATTATTGTTTCCAGATATGATTTTAAAGAGTTTGACGTCAAAAGGAAGATAATTTTGGGGTAATTTTGATTGAAATGGTATGATTTTATGGAAATCCGCTGATTGATTAACCGCAGGCGTGTGTACCCAGGAGGTATTGCGCGCATTGAAGGGCGAAGGAAGACATCTTTGTTTTGATTTCCAGTGACAAGTGAATCAATGCGATGTGTGGGTTGAAGAGGTATTTCCTACCAGACTACGTTTTCTTTCCCAAAAATACCATGTAAAAAAGGTGTGGAGTCGACCTTCGCCACGAACCAGAGGATAAATTTAACTAAGATCACAATATTTACTGTTATTTTTCGCTGTCCAAGACTTAGCCTTCAGCGCGCCGAGGAATTCAGAATTTTCAATTTTTGGCTCTGAGACATTTTCTTCATCAGAGAAAAATCACCGGAACTGGTTCTGAATTTTAAACGAAGCCTTAGGAAATCCCGTCGTCTTTCCAAAAACACCCGGCGTTAGCTCAATTTTTTCTGGCGTCGAAACTACAGTTCTTGGCAATTTTTGACTTGGGGTTGGAAAGGCGTCTTGTTTGAAGGAAGTTCTACGTTCAAAGCCAAGGAATTCAGCCGTAGTGAAGCCATTGTCTCATTTTCCGTCTCTTTCCCTTCTTTAATTCCCAGAAGAAAGGTGTGTATTATTTTTAGCAAGGATAAGGAAAGTGAAAGACAAAACTTGTTTTCGAAACCTAGAGCAGGAAAATGGCAAAACGAAAAATTGTGGAGGCGTGAGCTTATGTCGATAAAAAAAACCTGACTTGATAGCAAAGTCGAACTTGGAATCTTCATTACTGTTCCTATTAAAACGAGCGGAATCTGTTCAATTTTTATTTCAAAGGAATTAAATTTCATTTTATCAAACAGTTGAAGTGTTCTAAAATGGCTGAAGTTGAAAAAGCTGTTTCCAGTAATGGGAATGATAGCTGTCCAGAGAGCCCAGAGCCAAGAAGCCCACATTCCACAGGAGAGCAGGATTTTATTCTTCTATCGACACCTGAAATTGAATCAGACACCGGATCGGTGCTGTCGTCTGGGAAGAGTAAATCCCAGGGAAGCAGTATTGGTAGTTTTGCTGATGTGGATACTCCCAAAGCTGAGGCTACTATTGATAAGGAATTCACCGATGAAGAGGTTAAAGAGTTAGTTGAAGATGCAAGAAAGGAAACAAAAGATGACATCTCTGATACATCAGAGAAGGATTGTACAAATCGATATTCCAAGGACAGTGGAATCGGACAGTCAAGTGAAACACTAAAATTAGACGATGTCGTAGATTCAAGTAATGAATCTAGTGTCTTACAAAACGACGAGCTGAAGAGAAAGAGAGCTGCTACAGATATGACAAATTCAAAAAGCATAGAAATTGTAGATGATACCATAGATGGCAGCCTTCGTAATCGGGCAGGAACTGACCCTGGTAGTGGAGAAGAGGAAGGAATTGATGAAGACGCGGTTGAGTTCACTAAGGTGACATACTTGGGCTCCTCCACTGTAGATGCTCCTGTCAGCGAAATTGAGCTSAAGCGTACTATGACGATCCTGCGAGAACAATCCCAAGTCACTATTGACGTCATTCTTGTGATTGGGTCAACTTCTGAGGGTAAAATAAGACTTATGGACCCTGAGACAAAGACTGATATTGCCACTTACAAGGTGCAGAAGATACTGTTTTGTGGGCGAGGTGATGTCGACAGTGAGGAAAGGGACTGCTTTGCTTTCAATACRGTCCATGGTGAACCAGATATCTTTCATTGCCATGTCTTCAAGTGTCTTGAACCAGAAATGGTAAGCTGGAATAATTGTTAGTGTTACRTGTATGTAGATTATGATAAACCGTACAACATGATATTTCCCATTTCAGACCATGTCATAGGAACTAGATTCGTTCTGTAAGTTTTTCTAATATCAATGTATGTTCTGAAGTGATTTGGTAAGCAAAGAAACAATGTTCAAGAGAATAAATTAAGATATAGAAATATAGATAAGTTATAGTGCTTGGGAACGAGGTTATTCGGGGCGAAAGCCCTTGGAATTAAATTTGGAAAAATTAATTTCCAATTCGCTGGGAATCGAACACACAACTTTTCGGAACTGTACTACCGATGCTCTACCAGCTGAGCTAGATGTCAGACTGAGAGCAGGCTGGGAATAGAATGGCAGACATATCTACTAAGAAACCTCAACAAAACCTCAAGATCTAATTGAATAAGTTGAATCTTTGTTATAAGTATTGTGATGTTGATATATCGGGCATACCATTTTTGATACAAAATACATGTACATGTATGATAATAAAATAAAAAATATTCAATTCTTTATACCGGGCCTATTCATTATTAATTAATATAGCACTTCATTTTTTAGAATAGCAGGTCTTGCCTTATGGCTAAAGAATTCAATCACATTCCTATTGTAAGATTCAACCAAAATAAAAATATGTTTTAGTTACGTATTTCTCTGAATAGAATATATTTATAATTTATCACAATTTTGWTGCATTTTTACATGTTGTGATTTTAATCTTTTTTGATTTTAATCTAGAATTTTTCTCAAAAATAAATAAATTTCATGGATTATTTTAATACTGGGCCACAAAAATCACAAAGTTTATTTTGAAAATAATCTAGGTATCTAATGTTTAAGTAAAGTTGATAGGTCTTATGACACCAGACATGTAAATAATTCTCCACAAGGCTTCCAAGTAAGCTGCCATACAGAAAGCACATTGGTGCTTCCTGCTGCCTTTTAAGATCAAAATACCTTCCTTTTAAAAAAATATTCTTGATATTTGACACTTTAAGTTTGTCATCAATTTTCTATTTATTTTCATAAGTAAAAAAAAAAGGCTTATGCAGACTTGTGAATTTGAATCGTATTTCTTTTAAATCTGATTACAAAAATAGTTTATCTTTTCATGTGATATGATAACATATACTTATCCAATTAAGTTAGTTATTAAGAATAGTCTAAWTAAAAGTACTCTTCGTTTAGATAGCTTTCATTGAGTCTTGTGCAATATTTTAATTTATTCATTTTCTGGATATTTTTYTTGCTAAAGGCTGGAAAGATCTTTAAATGTTTTGCTGTGGCATTTAGAAAACACAGAAAGGTAAGATGTGATATTGACATATTAAACTAGCATTATCATCATCATTAACTTCATCATAATTAAGCTCTGGAGCACTCTTCCTGAATAGCTTAAAGACTTTCCTTTCAATAAAAATTTTAAATCTAAATTAAAGACATTTTTGTTTAAGTGACTGCATATTATTTTTAATCATCTTTTTTTTGTTATTATTGTAATATTAGTTTGCGAGATATTTCTGCGTATTTATTATTTTTGATATTTTATGAATTTATTAGGTATTGTAAAAAGCATTTTTATGTGATTATGCGTTTCTTAAGAAATAAACTRCATATATTATTATTATRATCATCATTAACTTCATCATCAACAACATAATCATCATTAACATCATAATACTATCATCATCATCATCAATGTCATCATCAGCATCACAACCATCACCAGAAATATTAAAATACTTTGCAATCATATTTCATAACCATTATATTTTGAATTTAAACAAAAGAACATTCTAAAGGTAAGACTATAGTGTAGTATATGCCCTATCTTCACACGGCTTCTCTACATATACCCTAATTTTAGCCTTTGGATCTTCAGCATGGTCAAAGAGTGAGGTCACCAACTGATACCCAACCCGTGCTTACGACATTGAATAACCTGTCATTCAAGTTTGATGTGTCCCTGGACATACAAGAGGAGGATAGTAAGGGATACTCGTCCGTATCCAGGGATAAGGTCTGTTTCAAACTGCGACAAAATGTCAAGAAGAAAGTTGTTGTCACTGTCCAGCAGCTTACCAATCGACACTTGATTGTGGAGAGGTTAGCAACTTTTTTTTCTCTCTCTCTTTCCACTGTTGCCCTTAATGTTCAAAACAACAAAAAAATGTAAAATTTTCGTGGTACAATAGAAATTTAAAGTTTGTGTAGATAGTTGGTAACTTTTTCAGCTTTCTCTCTCTCTCACTCTGTTGCTTGTAAACTTAGATTGAAGATTCTTTCCAACCATCCCTGTTTATATTCTTTCTTATTGTTTTGTCCACCAGGTGTTTTGGGCTACTGATCTGTCCAGGTCGTAACGTTCGACACTCAGACATGCACCTACTATCAGGGGTAAGTTGACTCATTTGGCCATCACCCTCTTGTACCAATTAGAAGAGTGTGCAGGTTTGGTATTGTTTGCAATGTCCAGGAAGGTGATACTTGCACCTGCCTTGTGCCAGAACAACCAAAGGAAATGTTACTTGCAAATCAATTTTGTAACTTTTTTACCTTTGTTTTACCATACATGTAGGGTCTTGTTTGTTTTAAAGTCTATAGAGGTTTTGCACACCATCACATGATGACAGCCATGTTAGATGGCAGGAACAACACAATCGTTTTGCATGAGAAAGAATTCAATTCCCGAGAGCAAAGGGATTTTATTGTTCTGCCATCTAACCACAGGCAACCCAAACTGCATTATGGGCACCAGCACGTGATGGCAGCCATGTTAGATGGCAGGAACAACACAATCGTTTTACATGAGAAAGAATTCAATTCCTGTGAAAAAAGGGATTTTATTGTTCTGCCATCTAGCCACAAGCAGACCAAGCTATATTATTGGCACTGGCACGTGATAATGCAAAACCTTCATTGTAATTGTCAACTGTTTGGTTGTTAGATAACTACTGATATCCAAGATGGTGGTAGGGTATACTGTATCAGTGGGTACTGGAACCCTTCGGCACAGGATCTTCTTGTCCTCAACACTGAGACACCAAAAGGTAAATAAGTCTTGGTGGATGTGTTAAACAGAGTGTAATTTTCATCTAGTCATTATTTTTTCATCCTTGTTATCCATTCATGTTATCCATCGTTACTCCCATTTGACTGTCTATTCTTCCATCTATTTATCGTTTCTTTTGTTTATTCATTTCATTAAACTTATAATTATTTATTTATCTGGACTGTCTTTCCATCCTTCCATTCRTCCTTTCTTTGTTCTTTCCATTCTTCCAATCATTCATTCAGTCCATCCCATTTATTTGATTAAATACAATTCCATTCCATTTTATCTATACATCCATCCATTCATTATATTTTATCTTCATTCATTTATTGGTTCATTCATTGATTTATTCACATCCCATTCATTCATTTATTCAGTCCATCCCATTTATTTCATTCAATACAATTCCATTCCATTTTATCTATCCATCCATCCATTCATCAATTTATTTTCATTCATTTACTGGTTCATTTATTGATTTATTCACATCCCATTCATTCATTMATTTATTCATTCATTTATTCAGTCCAYCTCATTTATTCATTCCATTCCATTTCATCTATTCATTCCTTTCTCCCTCATTTTTTATTCATTTACTAGTTTTATTGTTTTATCATTTATTGATCATCAATCTATTTGTTACTCTAATCAATCTTTCTCACAGACACCAGGGTATTCATGACAATAGCCATTGATCTTGTGGTTGCTAAAGTCACAGACCCAGTACGCTTCATCTATGAAACAAAAGCCAGGATATTCCCWGCCAATGAAAGGCTCTGGTATCTCAGCCGGCCTAGAATCCATGATACATACATCATGGACCTGCAGGAGGTATGTCTATTGATAACAGTTTTTTACAGTTTTGTAAATACTGAGAGAGTTACCCTGATTAAATAAAGATGAGAATATGTGGACCGCGTAGCACGTATGAAATACATGAAGATACAGTATAGAAATATAGATAAGTTATAATGCTTGGGAACGAGGTTATTCAGGGTGAAAGCCCTTGGAATTAAATTAGCTCAGCTGGTAGAGCATCGGTAGTACAATTCCGAAGGTTATGGGTTCGATTCCCAGCGAGGTCGGAAATTAATTTTTCCGAATTTAATTCCAAGGGCTTTCACCCGGAATAACCTCGTTCCCAAGCACTATAACTTATCTATATTTCTGATTAAATAAAGAAATCTATCTATCTATAAATATAATAATAATATAATGAAAGCTTTATTTAATGAAGGTTAATCTTTCAGTCATGGACTGGTTTAAAATCAACCTTGTTTTAGCCATTCCATAGTCAAGGAAAAAACTGGGTCAGTGAGCATTGACTGTTTTAGGGAAATGTTTTCAAATGTGGCACCTATTTCGTTCCTTGAAACAGTCTCGCATTGCACTGAAATGCCAAATTGACCCACTTTTTACCTTGGCTAATTACTTAGCCTTATCTGTTAGCAATAAGTAACTTCTTATTTAAACATTTTATAATAAAATTGAACAATAAAAACATGTTAGAAATAATAACAATAGATATAAGATAGATATATATTTCTATATATATTCTACTTTTCTAGTTCATTTTTGACTGTATAAGACTGTATAACTTCAACAATACTAACAAGAAATTCTATGGACATTCACTGAGGTTAGCTCAATGAARTAATTAAAGGAAATAATTTTTCTGATATTAATCTGTCATCATGTAGGCAGTGAATGAGGATACAGGAGAAAAGGGCTATGAAGTGAAGAGTATCGTGAGTGAGAAGGAACTGATTGCCAGAGGACAGATGTTTAAACGTCAGTCATCTTACAACCAACAAACAACCAATGACAAAAATTCCGAGGGTAAGGAATGGATTAATGAAGTTCAGCCGGTTTTTCATACATTGTCAAAGTACCTGTAACCTGAAACAACCTTTTGGCTGATTCAAGTATTAGCACTGCTAACTAAGATAGATGGGTCACAGATCCAACCCTGATACAATTGTAGGACTCTGTAAGTCAGGGCATGGCTAACTCACAAATCCCCTGGAACAACATCTGGACTGATCCAAGTCAGGGCACAACAAGTTCAGATCAAATTGGAATACAACAWTCCTTTGCGCGTGTTCCCCAAGATCACCTGGTTTCCTTGTAAGTAGACATGTGAGTAATGCTTGTGGCATATTTCAGATGATGAAGATGATGATGAGCCACTACTATCTGGCTCAGGTATGGTACAAAAAGAATGCACAGAAGAGGAGCTTTGCAGCTGGTCTGAACTCCTGTCCAAGTGGAAAGATGTTAGCACAAAACCACGGCAGYTGTACTCCTTGGTCAAGAAGGTACTAATGCAAAACAATATCAAGCTTTGAGACCTCTGGGAAATTAATGACTAAGGAATAAATTACTATAATATCATTAATATGCAGTGTTGATGAAGATGATGATGAAGATACAT